GAAACCACTCAACAGGAAATTTTTAATTTGGAACAGTCTTACCCTTATCTGAATCATTTCATTATTTTATTTTTTCTAATTAATTGGTTACTTCGTGTTTCCGGAAGAGTAAACTGCAGAGGACTTTAGTCCCGTAAGTATAGTCTATGTAATATCACGGGAAGTGCATGTGTTTCTTCCCCTGTGACATTTTACACCGACTTACACTTCGACTTGCAGAGAACGTCTCCCTCGAAGAAACTCCGCCAGTGGTGCTCCGTCCAGATGGAACAATCTCTAAGCTCCCGACTGGTCTCTGGATATGTTTTAGTATAATGTAGTGTATTGTGTTAGTGAGAGAAGGGAACAAGGAAGAGGAAGGAAAGATCGCGCGGTCCGTGGTCCATTTGGTTACTGCTGGGTGTTAGTCGGAGATATCACGGAAATCTCCAATCAGAGCAGCCAGCTGCTAGAATTATTTTCCAGAAAGTGGTTAATTTATTCTCAGCTAAGAAATTAATGTGGAAAATCTTCCCCCGTTTAAACTCGAATACAATGACATCTCTAGTGCTGTCGCAGAGCCATCGCAGGCAATGATTTGCCGTTGATACTCTGACTCGCTCACACAGTCCGTTCGTCATCTAATCCCTTCTTCGCAGGACCACCCATGTGACTCTATTAACGTACTGGCGAGATTTTCTCCGCAACTCATATGTTCCCACGTTTTCAATAGTGTCACTCCCTGTGTTTTCGCGTGGCTGACTCCTCCCTTCATTCCTCTGACATCTCCACTGTCATCCTTTCACATTGCAGTCACTGACATTACCGGAAAGCTTGCAGTATCTTCAATGAATCATAACTTTTTTTGTTCTGTCAAGAGCAATTGCAGTCACAGCCTACCGGTTACACTCAGATTCAACCATATTGCCAGTTACCACTTTAATAATGTTTCTGGGCTTTTCCGGCAACCGAAATAGAAACCTGGGGGGCTAGTTGTGTTTATCCACACAGACGTTAATGCAACTGCGTAAAACTATGTATTAAAGTGGTTATAATTCCAGCAGTACTGTGATGAAAGAATAATGTAGTTAAGCAAGATAGCCAAGAAGAAATTTTAAATGCGTTTTATCTGGCGTAACGATGCGTTTCAACAGACCGAGCATAATGTGGCTAAACGTAATTATAACTAGAATGAAATAAATTCGGGACCAACAATAACAAGGTAGATTTGGAAGAATGGACGAAAAAGATTCCTGTTTTCCTCTTACTTACTAGGGGTCGAATTAATTCATCTTTTGCCAGCTAGCGATGTTGTAAGGCCTGGGCCCCTGCTTTTAATATCCACGTTTTGGTAAGGGAGACGTCTGACGAGCATAGCATTTTCCCATCACGGTACCTAATTTATTTGTTTGCCTAAGTTTTCTTTTGACATGCAGCTATAGATATTGAATAGATTTGTATTAGAAAACTATAGCTTTATTTTTCCCCGGGCGGGAATCGATATCGGAACCACCACACAGAAAGCTACCACGCCGTTCATAAGCCACCCGAGGGGCTTTATTACGTAATGTATGTATGTATGTATGTATGTATGTATGTACTTGGCGCGACAGCCCGTGAACGGACTCAGGCCTACCGGCGACGTCCCTGCTTCGCGGCCATGGGTTAAGGGGAAGGGGGTACGTGTGGTTAGTACGTAGACAGCCCCACGTATTCTTCTCAACCTGAGAAACGCGTTTTCTCATCGCCACATAGCAACATACACTGGAACATTGCAAGAAAAAACGCACACTATTGTCTTGGCCCGACCAGGAATCGAACCCCATGCGCGTAGTGGAAGTAAGCACGCTGACCAAGAGCTAGCCATGAGCTTTATTACGCCGTAAACTTGTTAATAAATTTAGCTGAGAATCATCAATCGCTGTCGCGTGTCAATTGTTTATTAGGCAACCTGCTTGACGTTTATGCGTTTCTGCTCCGCGTGGCAGCGACCACTACATTCATGAAGCTAAAGGGAACCGCAGAGGAAAAGGAGAAAATTGGGGAAGAAGGAACAGAAAGAGGAGAATGATATGAAAAGAGAGAATAAGAAAGAATAAAGAAGATGAACGAGAAGAATTAGGAGAGAAAGAAGATGACACACGAGACAAAGAGAAGAAGAAGAAGAAGAAGAAGAAGAAGAAGAAGAAGAAGAAGAAGAAGAAGAAGCAGAATGAAAAGAAAGGGTGGCATAAGAAGAAAGAGAATGACAATGAGAAGAAAGAGAAGTAGGTGAACTGAACTGTTACAGCACTACTGTGTACTTTGCAGTCACGTATCGAAACATTAATGCACAATCTTATTTCTCACTTAAGAACCCCTTGGTCTGCGGGGCTCCAACAGCTTACCTCTATACGCTACACATTATAAAATAAATGAAAGCGATCCTCTTTTATGCGGTGCAGTTGGCGTCGCACTCTGACTGGGGGAGAGCTGCGCGGCGGGTCCCAGGCGGCGGCAGTGACGACGGCGGGGGCGGGCGTTTCGGCGGTGGGGGAGATCCACTGGAGGGTAGCGGCGGGGTTCTGTAGGGTGTTGGACGTAGAGGTTTCGGAGCGAAGCGATGGGCGTGGATGGTGGCGGCGGATGTCGGGGTGAATAGAGTGTGAGGGAGCGGGGAGGGCGCGGGGAATTGGTGCAGGGACTGCGCAGGGATTCAGGAGGAAAGCGGTGAGGGTGAAAGGGAGTGAGAGGTGACGCCGGGGGTGGCGGGGACGGGGATTTCGCCGGGGAGGATGCGGAGTGCGAGCGGAGTCTAGGGGTTTGGTGCAAAAACATCTCAGCGGTTTCGACGGGAAAGTGTGGGTGAGGATGGCGACGGGGGCGGGGATTTCGTAGGGAAGGATGCGGGGAAG